ACTCTCAACCACTGCGCCACCAGGGAAGCCCTTCTTCTTCTTTTTTTTTTTTTCCACAGAGAATTTTATCCTTAATTTTTCTTGTCCTGCCTTACTTTATTTCATCAGTTGAATTGATTTTCCAAATACAAATCTTAAACTCTTCTAATAAAGCAGAATTGTAGCTGCACTTGCAGAAATGCAAACATTCAGGTCGATATTGATTCTGAAAAGTGGAGGGGGTTATGTGTAACCGGAAGATGCCAGGTGTATGGTATATATGTATTTAATGAACTGGTATCTAATTATTTGGAGATTTTAAAGTGCATCACAGAATTTATTCTAAAGCATAATTCAAAGGATCCTTTGATTTCTTCTCTAAACAATTACACATGTCCAATAATTACATGGGTTCACCCAAACTTTCCAGGTTTCAGAATGCCACAGACATTATCATCACTATAAATTTAATCTGTCTTTCTGATATTGATCACGCAGAAGTTTTCTATATTCTTCCACTGATTTATGCAAATTATTAGTACCCTTACAAAAACAGCAGGTACTAAAATACCAATACTGCACGATACTTTTTCCAAAACATATGTGCTATTGGTGTTTAGGCAAATATTCAAAGGAGAACATTACATCTAACAATTTGGATGTTCTAATCAAACAACTCTTCTATTAACAAACAGTTCTGGTATAAGAAAGCCTTTGGATAAACTGATATGTATAACCACTTTCTTTTAAAATACTTGGAGGTTCCTTAAAAAACTACAAATAGAACTACCATATGACCCAGCAATCCCACTACTGGGCATATACCCTGAGAAAACCATAATTCAAAAAGAGTCATGTACCAAAATGTTCATTGCAGCTCTATTTACAATAGCCCGGAGACGGAAACAACCTAAGTGTCCATCATCAGATGAATGGATAAAGAAGATGTGGCACATATATACAATAGAATATTACTCAGCCATAAAAAGAAATGAAATTGAGCTATTTGTAATGAGGTGGATGGCCCTAGAGTCTGTCATACAGAGCGAAGTAACTGAGAAAGAGAAAGACAAATACCGTATGCTAACACATATATATGGAATCTAAGGGGGAAAAAATGTCATGAAGAACCTAGGCGTAAGACAGGAATAAAGAAACAGACCTACTAGAGAATGGACTTGAGGATATGGGGAGGGGGAAGGGTAAGCTGTGACGAAGCGAGAGAGAGGCATGGACATATATACACTACCAAACTTAAGGTAGATAGCTAGTGGGAAGCAGCCGCATAGCACAGGGATATCAGCTCGGTGCTTTGTGACTGCCTGGAGGGGTGGGATAGGGAGGGTGGGAGGGAGGGAGATGCAAGAGGGAAGAGATATGGGAACATATGTATATGTATAACTGATTCACTTTGTCATAAAGCAGAAACTAACACACCATTGTAAAGCAATTATACTCCAATAAAGATGTTAAAAAAATACTTGTTTCACTTAAGCCTATGGATATCAGCTATAGTTTCTAAAATATGCACATATTATAGAAAAAAGACATTAAAAGCAAAATATAATTTGAAAACAAACGGAGAAAGCATCAGTCATCAAATCAAGTCAATCTGTAAATAAAGCAAATAATGATTCACTATTTACGTACTTAACCGATTATAAATGGGGCAGAAAAATGATGGAAACAAATGAAGAAAATGCTCCAAACATAGCTACAGAAAAAAGAAAACTAACCTGAACAACTCCTAGCTCTGTTTCCTTTGCGTTTATCTTCTCAGATATCAGGAGAGGCTCGCTTTTCTCACAGCTCTCCTGGCTGATGAGTGTGTCCGCGTAGTTGGGCTGCGGGAAGATCACGTGACTCCCCCGCGAGTCCGCAGTGAGCGAGACCTCGTGCGAATACGTCTGCAGGAAAGCCCGCACCCCGTCCACGCCCACAAAGTGAGAGGCGGGCGCGCCAGCCAACCCGCTGACGGAAGCCTGCAGCACGCGCGACCTGTGCCAGCGCCGCAGTCTGAGCGCCAGCAGCGCGATGACAAATGCGAGGAAGACGCAGGAGACCGCGGCCACCGCCACCACTAGGTACAGCGTGAGGCTCGAGTCCTCAGGGTCGGCGGAGGGTTTGAGGCTGCCCAAGTCCGCCAGCACATCTGGGATGCTATCAGCCACAGCTACCGTGAGCGTGACGGTGGCCGAGAGAGGGGGCTGGCCGTGGTCCTGGACCGCCACCACCAGGCTCTGCTTGAGCGCGTCTCTGTCCAGCAGGGCCCGCGCTGTGCGCACCTCGCCCGTGTGCAGCCCCACCGCGAAGAGTCCTGGATCGCTGGCCTTGAGCAGGCGGTAGGACAGCCAGGCGTTCTGGCCCGAGTCTCTGTCCACAGCCACCACCTTGGTCACCAGGTAGCCAGGCTCTGCAGAGCGGGGTGCCAGCTCCACACCGGTGGAACCGTCGGTGGGGAGGGCGGGGTACAGAATTTCAGGTGCGTTGTCGTTCTGGTCCAGGATGAACAGGCTCAGAGACACGTTGCTGCTGAGTGGAGGGTCCCCACTGTCACTGGCTGTCACCCACAGCTGCAGTTCTCTAACCTGCTCATAGTCGAAAGAGCACAGTGCATACAGGACTCCAGTGTCAGAGTTGATGGAGACGCAAGATGATAGACGCGTTCCCTGAAATCTGTTCTCCGCCAGAGAGTAAGTGACCTGGGCGTTGTTGCCACTGTCGGGGTCATGGGCGTTCACAGAGAAGATCGAGATGCCTCTGGGGTTGTTTTCTGGGATGTAGGTGTAGTATAAGGTGTGAGGGAAAACGGGAGGGTTGTCATTGATGTCTGTCACTTTCAGGGAGATATGGTTTTCTGTAGACAGTGGTGGATTTCCACAGTCAGTGACAGTTACTGTGATGTTGTAATCTGAGATTTCTTCTCTGTCCAGGGCTCTTGTTGTCAGTAAGTGATAGTAATTATCAACTGACTTTTCCAATTTAAAAGGCAAGTTCCTGGGAATAGAACATGTAATCTCACCATTCTCTCCAGAATCACCATCATGTACGCTAAACAGAGCAATTATCGTTCCGGGAAGACAGTCTTCAGAGATGGAACTGGCGAGAGAGGTGAGGATCACTTCAGGCGCATTGTCATTCACGTCCTGAACTGTGATTAGTACCTTAGCGCTGGCAAGAAGAGCACCTCCATCCTGAGCTACCACTTCCATGTGATAGAATCTGGATTCTTCGTAATCCAGTGATTGCAGAGTTGAGATTTCACCCAAGTTGGAATCAAGTTGGAAAGTCTCTGAAATTTTGTCTTCTTCATTGCGAAAAGAGTAGGTCAATTTCCCACTTATTCCCTCATCTGGATCCGTGGCGGTTAGTGTGAGCAGCCGAGTGCCAAGAGCTATGTTCTCTGGAACACTCACTCTGTACTCGGATTGAGTGAACAGGGGCGCGTTATCGTTTGCATCGAGGATCATCACGCGGATGTGCGTGGTACCAGAGAGTACGGGGTCTCCGCCATCTAAAGCTGTGAGTAGGAGGTCGTGAACAGCTACTTTCTCGCGGTCCAACGGCTGTTCCAGTACCAGCTCTGGATATTTCTGTCCATCTGTGTCGCTTTTCTCGGCCAAAGAGAAGTGCATATTGGAGCTGAGCTGGTAACTCTGGAGTGAGTTCACACCTACATCTGCATCTCGAGCAAAGGGAAGTACTAACCGCGTTCCCACAGCCGCATTTTCATTAACTTTTACTTTTACTTCCTCATCCCGGAAACGCGGGAAGTTATCATTAATATCGATTATTTCTACTTCTACCCCATACATTTTCATTTTACTCTCAACCAAGATGTTAAAACTCAGCAGACACAGCGCTCTCTGAGCGCAGAGCTCCTCCCGGTCTATCCTGCCCGCGGTGATCAAGCTGCCGCTTCGCGGGTTCAGAGCAAAGAGCTGCGTCCTACCTCTGGAGAGGATGCGGACTCCCCGCTCCGCAAGCTCCCGGGGCTCCAGCCCCAGGTCCTTGGCGATGTTGCCCACGAAGGAGCCTTTATCCAGCTCCTCTGGCACCGAGTAGCGGATCTGCCCAGCCCCGGCTCCCCACAGCGTCCCCAGCAACATGGAGAGCAGCAACAGCTCTCTGCAGCCCCAAACCCTCAGTGGATCCGCCATTGCCTCTCTCTCACCAGTTTTCTCTTAGTCCTGGTTCCAATCTGCTGTTTCCTTACTTCTCTAAAGCCAAGGGGAACACATTCCCTTGCGGAAATGGGAGAGGGGCGCGGGTGGGCGGCTTTTCCCTGGAGCTTGTCTGGTCTGCGCGTCCTTAGTGCGGAAGGAACAGAGTCTGATCGCATCAGCGGCAGCTTCTTTCCCACTTTGGTGAACAGCGACGCTCAGAGTCCTAACCAGTTACTACACCAATTCTGTTTTGATTTCAAATGTTTAATTATATTTTATTTCTAATAATTTTCTGTATCCTTAATATATTACCACGTGACATTCCTTATATTTAAATAAGATTTAATTCTAAAATAGCAAAAGACTTCCACAAGCTTAATTCTGAGATTAATGTAATTATTAGATTATTTTTTACTTCTTTAGAAAAGTTTTATTTACTGTGCCATTGAGCCTATGCCCTTTAATTAGCTCTTACCTATATTGAGTCCATTTAATTAGGACATCAGTATTCTTTTGCAGGTTTAAAGATTTCACTTTTTAATTAGGATATATTTATGAAAACATGCCCGTTTGTATACAAGAATGCCAAGAAAACAATTCTAGCTCTCAGCAGACCTTTGAAAAAAGGCCTACTGAATTATCCAAATTGCATTAGCTGTCATATGCAGAAGAAATAAAGGGACTTTTTTTGTTTTTGCTTTTTGTTACTTGTGAGGTCTTCAAGAAAGTTTCAAGATTTTCACACTAAGCACATGGCAACTACACTATATCAGACCGAGAGTCTGAGTCGGATTAACTATGCATTATTTATATTTTCCTATTACCATGTCTAAATTGGAGTTAGATGTTTTACAGTTACAGACACCTGGGGGAAATCAGTAGAGTGACTATGGCAGAAAGGGCTTTAGTTCATCATCCTTACAGAAAAACAAGTCCAGATACTTATCATTGAGCAGGCAGTGAGTGGCCTCTCTATGTCAAGATAGATATTTAATGTTATCACCTTTATATGGTAGCAGAAAAAGAAATGCCTCATGACTAAAAAAAAAAAAAAGTGGACATTTCAGAGAGTCCATTGAGAGGAGGAATTTTTACTTAATGACACCTTTATAGGAAAATTAAGATGTTTTACATCTATACCTAGAAAATTCAAAATAAAGTTTTAAGGAAGCAATGTGAGAATAGGTTGCAAAATTTTTCTCAATGTACAATTTTTCACAAGAGCAATTTGTTATTGTGCCTGAGAGAGAAAGATTTCTCCCATTTATTAAACACACTCTTAATAGCAGACACTGCATACCTCAAACTTTTCACAACCTTTTAAAATAGATCTGGGATCCCAAGACACTTAGCTTGTAAAGATACGAAGAGTGCTGGTGTTCATGTCAGTCCTACCCATGCTCTGCTGTTGACAGGCCATGACATTGAGTAAAATTCTTCCTTTCTTTGGTCCCCAGTTTCCCAAACTAGTGAGATGGGGAGCTCTCTTTACTCTTTTTTTTTTTTTTTTGCGGTACCCGGGCCTCTCACTGCTCCAGCCTCTCCCATTGCGGAGCACAGGCTCCGGACGCGCAGGCTCAGCGGCCGTGGCTCACGGGCCCAGCCGCTCCGCGGCATGTGGGATCCTCCCGGACCAGGGGCATGAACCCGCATCCCCTGCATCAGCAGGTGGACTCTCAACCACTGCGCCACCAGGGAAGCCCTCTCTTTACTCTTAAATACTATAATTCTAAGAGGAAGTGCAACTAAAGTTAATAAAACTAATATAAAGACCCTGAAGGAAAAAGGAATAGCTTAAGGTCTCAACAGTAATAAACTTTCAGAGGGAAGGAATGTAAAGATGAGGAAGAAAAAGAAGTATTTTATGAAGTAAAAGCTTGTAACTATGATAAATAAATCATACCTGTCAGATAGAAAACCTATGTCAAAGATTTGTTTAAATATGATTATGATATTTAAGGCAGAAAACCACCTAAATTCTAGCCATAAAACAATAAAATATGAATTGAAGACTTCTACTCCGGTTAGGTGATTTGTTAATAAACATTGAAACCGCAAGGTAAAAAAGTGAATTAAATTAAAGCTCACCTTTAAAATAGTACCTGAGGCAAATGGGACCCCAGCATCTCCATGATTACTACTTGGCACCCAGGAGGCATCTTCGCAGAGGAGATCCTGAGGGGGAGCCATTTCTGGGGTGACGCTGAGAAAATTAAATTCTGCCTTAGCTGATTGTGAAGCAACACACAGATTGTAGGAATAGGGCAATGTTCCCTCACTGTAGTTGGGGGGAACCACGGGTCCAGACTTGACACAGACACCAGGCTGAAAGCAGCCAGAGGCAGCGGGGCTGGAGGAGTGTCGAAGGTGTAGGGCGACCGCCAGAATCACTGCCAGGAGGAAGAGCACCGAGATCAAGGCCAAGGCCACCACCAGGTAAAACTGCAGCTCAGCTTGGGGGTCAGTGGGCTCAGAGTGGTCACTGAGGTCCGGCAGCGCCTCCTGCAGGCTGTCCGCGAAAACCAGGTGCAGCGTGGCGGTGGCCGAGAGGGGCGGCTGGCCCCCATCGCGCACAGCAACCAGCAGGCGCTGGCGGGCCGCGTCCCTGTCGCCCAGGGCCCGCGCCGTGCGCACCTCGCCCGTGCGCAGCCCCACGCTGAAGAGTCCGGGCTCGCTGGCCTGCAGCACGTGGTAGGACAGCCAGGCGTTGTGTCCAGAGTCGGCGTCCACCGCCACCACCTTGGTGACCAGGTAGCCGGGCTGCGCGGCGCGCGGCACCGTGTCGAAGAGCGCCGAGCCGTCGGGCCCCAGCGCCGGGTACAGCACCCTGGGCGCGTTGTCATTGCGGTCGCCCACAAGCACGCGCAGGCTCACGTTGGCGCTGAGCGCGGGCGAGCCGTGGTCGCGGGCCTGCAGCGTCAGCTCGAAGGCGCGCAGCTGCTCGTGGTCGAAGGCGCGCTGCGCGAACACCACGCCGCTCTGTGAGCTCACGGACACGTAGGACGACAGCGCGCGCGGCTCCAGGTCGCTGGCCACGATGGAGTAGGAGACGTGGCCGTTGGGCCCCAAGTCTGGATCTGAAGCGTTAACTTGGGCGATGGAGGCTCCAGGCGGGTTGTTTTCTGCCACGTGAACCACGTAGGAGGCCTGGTGGAAAACTGGAGCGTTGTCGTTGACATCTGCAAGGCGCAGAGTGATGCTTATACTAGAGGAGAGGGGCTTCTTGCCTCTGTCGGTGGCCATTATAGTGACGTTGTATTCTGGGATCTCCTCCCGGTCCAGGGTCCTGTCTGTCACTAGCTTGTAATAGTTCTTCGAGTAAGATTTCAATATAAACTCGGCCTTTCCCAAGATTTGGCAGTAAACTTCTCCATTTTCTCCAGAGTCTCTATCTCTTGTTTTTATCAAGGCGATCACTGTTCCTGGTGGTGAATCCTCTGGTAGGGGAGTAAATATTGAAGTCACAATCACTTCCGGTGCACAATCATTCTCATCAAGAATTTCGACTTGGACACTGCAATGGGCTGCTAGATCTCCAGGATCTTTCGCTTCTACAGTGAGAGTGTAACTACTAGCGATTTCAAAATCAAAATCATCCTTTGTCGTGATTTCTCCTGTTCTTCTGTCTAAGTTAAAAAATCGTTCCACTTGTTCATCCACATTATGAAAGGAGTAGATGATCTCTGCGTTGACGCCCTCGTCCTGGTCGGTGGCTGTCAGTTGAAGCACTAAGAAGCCAGGGGGCACACCCTCTTGCAGGCTGACCCTGTACACGTCCTGGCTGAACACTGGGGGATTATCGTTCGCATCTGTGACTTGGATTTGGATCTGGGTGGTGCCACTTTGGGGTGGGTCCCCACCGTCTACAGCTGTCAGGACCAGATGATGAAAATTCTGCTCTTCTCTGTCCAGAGAATGTTTCAGAATCAACTCAGGATATTTACGTCCATCTGGAGTCTGTTTCTCTGTGAGATCAAAGTGCTCATTTTCATTAAGGTTGTATCTTTGCAGTGAATTAGGACCAGCATCCAAATCCAGCGCCGGGTCTAGTGGAAATGTTTTACCTGGCTTAGTGGATTCTCCAATTTTTAAGTCAATCTTACTCTGTTTGAATAGCGGAGTGTTGTCATTTATATCCTGTACTATTACTGATACATGGAAAATATTTAGTGGGTTTTCAGCGACAGTATCGAAATCCAGAATGCAGAGAGGCTTCTTGCCACAAATCTGCTCTCGGTCTATTCTATCACTCACAAGTAAGTCCCCGCTCTCAGGGTTTACAATAAAATATTCCTTCTCCGCGGTAACCCGCAACTTCCGGGCCGGCAAGTCCCGGACACTGAGCCCCAGATCCTTGGCGAGGTTTCCTACCACCGAGTTCTTGGCCAGCTCCTCGGGAATTGAGTAGTGAATTTGGTCTGGGAAAGCCCCGCGGAACAAAGACAGCAGGAAGGGCAACAGTACCTGCCGCCACCGCGCTCGGCCGCTCCTCTCTGCGCTCGGCCTCATCCTGTCTCCCTCCACTGCTGCTCTGCTCCTTGGTCGGGAGGAGGAATAAGCAAAATCCAGGGTAGGGTCACTTTTCCTGCTTTCGTTTCCTCTGTCCAAACCTGTACTGGCCTCCCTTTTGTGGTTTGTTTGAGCAGGAAGTTACCCTTTCAGACGTTCCCAAATGCGTCTCTGATAATCTTCTCTTCCTTCTTTTGACCTACAGCGACGCCCAGAGGTTTTCCCCAGAAACTGCACTAATGTCTTGTAAATGTTTTGCAAGGAACTATTTTTTTTTTTCTTTTTTGGGGGGGGATTTACAAGGAGTATTTATTTGTTTTTAAATAGGTATACATTCATACAGTTCGAAATTCAAAAGGCACATATGGCATATTTTATAGGCTCTCCCTCTCTGCTTTCAACAACATATGTCTCCCAGGAGAAATGAGTGCTATATTTTTTGTGTATCATTCCATTAGTATGTTTTGTAGAGTTCAGCAGATTTCTAAAAATATTCTCCCCCGGTTTTAGACACAAAAGTATACAATATACAATGTTTTGCATCTTGCTTTTTTCACTCATTATATCTTTTTTTTAATTGATGGAAATTTGCTTTTTATTTTTTGACAGTTTGCAGATGTTTCATTCAAATTCTCAACCATTTGTTAGTAATAAAATGTAATTTTTTTGATTGTTATCAAATCTGAGGAAACTTCTATTGAGTTTCCTTGAAATCTGAGCTATAAGACTTTGGTGCATTTTATTTTATTAAATTAATTTTTATTGGAGTATAGTTGCTTTACAATGTTGTGTTAGTTTCTGCTGTACAGCAAAGTGAATCAGCTATACGTATACATATATCCCCTCTTTTTTGGATTTTCTTCTCATTTAGGTCACGACCAAGCATTGAGTAGAGTTCCCTGTGCTGTACAGTAGGTTCTCATTAGTTACCTATTTTATACATAGTAGTGTATATATCACTCATTATATGTTGAAGATAACATATTCTAACAGTACATAAAAAGGTTTCCCATTTTTAATTTCTTATGGCTATGTAGTAGCCTATCATATAATTGTACAACAATTTATTTAACCATAAATATTACTTTCTAAAAGAAACCCAGTGTCCACTCAAACAAAAATGTATTTCCATGTGATATTAGTTATAAATTATCAACTGCCCTCCTAGGCATTAAAAAATATATATCGCTCTGATTCTGGAATGTATTCTTAATGCCAGCATGCAAATATGTCTGTCACAGTTTCAAGACAATTGATATTTCCAAATTATATTTTAAAGCTTCAGCATTTTAAACGATCTATCCTCAGATACGATTTGTTTCTCAATATTCATTTATTATTTTCTCTTTCCTCTCCTCATGCCAGCTAGTTGTATCATACCACATTCCTGTTTTGCTCTATGTATTGCACCACAATTTCCCATGAAGACCAAGGCATTTAGAAACTCAAACTCTCCTTCTTAAGCTGAATTGAGGCATAGTCCACAACTATTGCTACAATTTCCAGGTATCCAAAGTTCACTAATTTTTGCAGTCCTAGACATTCATGAATATTCTCCCCAAGTCATATCATCCCAGAGCCCAATGGTGACAGAGATACCTATGAGCAATTTTTGGGACCGGGCTGAGACCTTCATACTAAATAGCATAAATCATATCAGTTTAGAATCTGAGTCACCCAACCTGTATAAGAGGCTCCCAAGATGAAAAAGGAAAGATTTTTTAAAGTTATGTTTTCCTCAGAAATCAAAAATTGTCTCATAGTGATACCATAATAGGTAATTTAGAAATTATTAAAATCACTCCTGCAAGCTATTGAATATGAGTGAAATTAAATGGGCAATATTTTTGGTAATCACAGAAGAGCACCAAGGGAATCACACATAGTCAGTTGGTGCATCTCACAAACTGCAACAACACAATATATGAAATGTACCAATCCAGTTGAGAAACTATCCCTGTTAAAGTTATATCTAAATGTTAAGTATATTCCCCAATATTTATAAATTGCCATTGTTTAATCATAATGGAAAATACCTATCCCAAAGGAAAGAAAAGTAAATTTCAAGCAAAGTACATTAGGGTGTAAAAAGAGGAAATTTTAAAATACTCAATCCAGACACAACAACAGCTTCATAAGGGAGAATGCTTTAATATAAATATACACAATTGCCTCCTTAATAATTGTGAATTATTTCACAATTCTAATCTATCCTTTCAGTAATACCTAAAGGAAAATGATTTTAAAGATGTGAGAGGCAGCAGAGAAGAAAAAGAAATAAAAGGAATTCAAATCAAAAAAGAAGAAGTAAAGCTGTCACTGTTTGCAGATGACATGATACTATACATAGAGAATCCTAAAGATGCTACCAGAAAACTACTAGAGCTAATCAATGAACTTGGTAAAGTAGGAGGATACAAAATTAATGCACAGAAATCTCTCACATTCCTATACACTAATGATGAAAAATCTGAAAGAGAGATTAAGGAAACACTCCCATTTACCACTGCAACAAAAATAATAAAATACCTAGGAATAAACCTACCTAAGGAGACCAAAGACTGTATGCAGAAAACTATAAGACACTGATGAAAGAAATTAAAGATGATACAAATAGATGGAGAGATATACCACGTTTTTGGATTGGAAGAATCAACATTGTGAAAATGACTCTACTACCCAAAGCAATCTACAGATTCATTGCAACCCCTATAAAACTACCAATGGCATTTTTCACAGAACTAGAACAAAAAATTTCACAATTTGTATGGAAACACAAAAGACCCTGAATAGCCAAAGCAATCTTGAGAAAGAAAAACAGAGCTGGAGGAATCAGGCTCCTGGACTTCAGACTACACTACAAAGCTACAGTAATCAAGACAGTACAGCACTGGCACAAAAACAGAAATATAGATCAATGGAACAGGACAGAAAGCCCAGAGATAAACCCACGCACATATGGTCACCTTATTTTTTTTTAATTTATTTTTGTTTTAGTTTTGGCTGCGTTGGGTCTTCGTTGCTGTGCACGGGCTTCCTCTAGTTGTGGTGAGCGGGGGCTACTCTTCGTTGTGGTGCATGGGCTTCTCACTGCGGTGGCTTCTCTTGTTGCAGAGCACAGACTCTAGGGGCGCGCGGGCTTCAGTAGTTGTGGCACACAGGTTCAGTAATTGTGGCTCGCGGGATCTAGAGCACAGGCTCAGTAGTTGTGGCACACAGGTTTAGCTGCTCCGCGGCATGTGGGATCTTCCTGGACCAGGGCTCAAGCCCGTGTCTCCTGCATTGGCAGGCGGATTCTTAACCACTGCACCACCAGGGAAGCCCTGGTCACCTTATTTTTGATAAAGGAGGCAAGAATATACAATGGAGAAAAGACAGCCTCTTCAATAAGTGGTGCTGGGAAAACTGGACAGCCACATGTAAAAGAATGAAATTAGAACACTCCCTAACACCATACACAAAAATAAGCTCAAAATGGATTAAAGACCTAAATGTAAGGCCAGACACTATAAAACTCTAGAGGGAAACATAGGCAGAACACTATGACATAAACCACAGCAAGATTCTTTTTGACCCACCTCCTAGAGAAATGGAAATAAAAACAAAAATAAACAAATGGATACATAGGCAGAACACTCTACGACATAAACCACAGCAAGATCCTTTTTGACCCACCTCCTAGAGAAATGGAAATAAAAACAAAAATAAACAAATGGGACCTAATGAATCTTAAAAGCTTTTGCACAGCAAAGGAAACCATAAACAAGATGAAAAGACAACGCTCAGAATGGGAGAAAATATTTGCAAACAGAGCAACTGACAAAGGATTAATCTCCAAAATATACAAGCAGCTCATGCAGCTCAGTGTCAAAAAATCAAACAACCCAATCCAAAAATGGGCAGAAAACCTAAATAGACATTTCTCCAAAGAAGATATACAGATTTCCGACAAACACAGGAAAGGATGCTCAACATCACACATCATTAGAGAAATGCAAATCAAAAGTACAATGAGATATCATCTCACACCGGTCAGAATGGCCATCATCAAAAAATCTACAAACAGTAAATGCTGGAGAGGGTGTGGAGAAAAGGGAACCCTCTTGCACTGTTGGTGGGAATGTGAATTGGTACAGCCACTGTGGAGAACAGTATGGAGGTTCCTTAAAAAACTACAAATAGAACTACCATATGACCCAGCAATCCCACTACTGGGTATATACCCTGAGAAAACCATAATTCAAAAAGAGTCATGTATGACAGTGTTCACTGCAGCACTATTTACAATAGCTAGGACATGGAAGCAACCTAAGTGTCCATCGACAGATGAATGGATAAAGAAGATGTGGCACATATATACAATGGAATATTGCTCAGCCATAAAAAGAAACGAAATTGAGTTATTTGTAGTGAGGTGGATGGACCTAGAGTCTGTCATACAGAGTGAAGTTAAGTCAGAAAGAGAAAAATAAATACCGTATGCTAACACATATATATGGACTCAAAAAATAAAAAAAAGGTTATGAAGAACCTAGGGGCAGGACAGGAATAAGGACGCAGACATAGAGAATGGACTTGAGGACATGGGGAGGAGGAAGGGTAAGCTGTGACAAAGTGAGAGAGTGGCATGGACATATATACACTACCAAATGTAAAATAGCTAGCTAGTGAGAAGCAGCCGCATAGCAGAGGGAGATCAGCTCAGTGCTTAGTGACCACCAAGAGGGGTCGGAGAGGGAGGGTAGGAGGGAGACTCAAGGGGGAGGAGATATGGGGATATATGTATATGTATAGGTGATCCACTTTGTTATAAAGCAGAAACTAACACACCATTGTAAAGCAATTATACGCCAATAAAGATGTTAAAAAATAATAGAAAAAATAAAGACGTGAGAGGGTTAGAAGTATAAACTTAAGAAATTGCTGCTGAAACTATAACTGAATGAAGATTACAAAGGATAAGCAATCAATAACTATTAGGCGTAGTAACTGTTATTTATCATTACTGAAGGATCATTTGCCATTCCACTTTAAAGCACTTTAAAGAATACTAAAAAAGAAGTGTCTTTTATATGTAATTGGAGACATTTATGCAGCTCTCTGCCTACGTTTCAGTGTGGCAAGATCTGACTCACCTGTTGAAGACTGGGTTCTCCTTTTCTTTCAAGTAAATCTTGAGATATCAGGAGAGGCCCACTTTTCTCACAGCTCTCCTGGCTGATGAGCGTGTCCGCGTAGTTGGGCTGCGGGAAGATCACGTGACTCCCCCGCGAGTCTGCGGTGAGCGAGACCTCGTGCGAATACGTCTGCAGGAAAGCTCGCACCCCGTCCACACCCACAAAGTGGGAGGCGGGCACGCTGGCCAACCTGCTGCCTGAAGCCTGGAGCAGATGCGACATGTGCCAGCGCCGCAGTCTGAGCGCCAGCAGCACGATGATAAATGCGAGGAAGACGCAGGAGACCGCGGCCACCGCCACCACTAGGTACAGCGTGAGGCCCGAGTCGTTAGGGTCCGCTGAGGGCTTCAGGCTGCCTAGGTCAGTCAGGACGTCTGGGATGCTGTCAGCCACGACGACCGTGAGTGTGACTGTGGCGGAGAGAGGGGGCTGGCCGTGGTCCTGCACCGCCACCACCAGGCTCTGCTTGAGCGCGTCTCTGTCCAGCAGGGCCCGCGCTGTGCGCACCTCGCCCGTGTGCAGCCCCGTGGCCGAGAGAGGGGGCTGGCCGTGGTCCTGGACCGCCACCACCAGGCTCTGCTTGAGCGCGTCTCTGTCCAGCAGGGCCCGCGCTGTGCGCACCTCGCCCGTGTGCAGCCCCACCGCGAAGAGTCCCGGCTCGCTGGCCTTGAGCAGGCGGTAGGACAGCCAGGCGTTCTGGCCTGAGTCTCTGTCCACAGCCACCACCTTGGTCACCAGGTAGCCGGGCTCTGCAGAGCGGGGTGCCAGCTCCACACCGGTGGAACCGTCGGTGGGGAGGGTGGGGTACAGAATCTCAGGTGTGTTGTCATTCTGGTCCAGCACGAATATGCTCAGAGACACATTGCTGCTGAGTGGAGGGTTCCCGCTGTCGCTGGCTGTCACAAGTAGCTGCAGGTCTCTAACCTGTTCATAGTCAAAGGAGCGCAGAGCATACAATACACCTGTGTCAGAGTTGATAGAGACATAGGAGGAGAGAGGCGCCCCCTGCAGCTTGTCCTCAGCCAGAGAGTAAGTGACCATGGAGTTCTCGTTACTGTCAGGGTCATGGGCGGTCACAGAGAAGATAGAAGCTCCCCTAGGATTGTTTTCTGGAACGTAGGCCAAGTAGGAAGCTTGAGGGAAGGCAGGTGGGTTGTCATTGACGTCTGCCACGTTCAGTGAGATGTGTGTTTCTGTAGACAATGGTGGAGTCCCGTGGTCAGTGGCCGTTACAGTGATGTTATATTCTGAGACTTCTTCCCTATCCAGAGTCCTGTGTGTCAACAACCGATGATAATTTCCAAAGGTCTTCTCAAGTGCGAATGGCAGATTATCTGGAATAGAACATGTGACAAGGCCATTCTCTCCTGAATCACTGTCATGCACATTGAAAAGTGCAATTACTGTGCCTGGGGAAGAAGTTTCTTGAATAGAGCTGCTGAGAGATGTAACTGCGACTTCTGGGACATTGTCATTTACATCCAGAACTGTCACCAGTACCTTACTTCTGGCTCGGAGACCAGGCCCATCATGGGCTTCTACCTCTATATCATAGAACCCAGAGTCCTCATAATCTAGATCCCCCAATATTGTTATGTCCCCAGTCAGAGGATTCAAGTGGAATAGCTGGGCTATTTTATCTCTTACTTTCCGGAAAGAATATGTGACTTCTCCATTGGCTCCTTCATCTGTATCAGTGGCTTTTACTGTGAGTAGCCTGGAGCCCACCGGCACGTTCTCCTGCACACTCACATGGTACTCGGGCTGAGTGAATACTGGGGCATTGTCGTTGGTATCCACAAGTGTTACATGAATCCTGGCAGTGCCGGAGTGAACCCGGTCGCCTCCGTCGAAGGCGGTGAGAACGAGATGGTGAACCGCCTCTTCCTCGCGGTCCAGGGCGCGCTCCAACACGAGCTCAGGGTACGTAATCCCATCAGCTCCTCTTTGCACATCCAGGGAGAAGTGACCATTCGAGCTGAGCTGGTAACCCTGCAGAGAGTTTATCCCTATATCCGGATCAAAAGCTTCAGGAAGAGGAAATCTTGTCCCAGGATTTTCACTTTCAGCTACTTTTATTTCCCTTTGCTCTGACCCAAAGGTGGGCGCGTTATCATTAACATCGATTATTTCCACTTCTACTCCAAAAATCTTCACTTTGTCCTCTAGGAGAATCTCCAGGTTTACTACACACTTTGGAGATCTGTCACAGAGCTCCTCCCGGTCTATCCTGCCCGCAGTGACCAAGCTGCCGCTTCGCAGGTTCAGAGCAAAAAGCTGCGTCCTACCTCTGGAGACGATGCGGACTCCGCGCTCCGCCAGCTCCCGGGGCTCCAGCCCCAGGTCCTTGGCAATGTTGCCCACGAAGGAGCCGTTCTCCAGCTCCTCAGGCACCGAGTAGAGGATATGTTCGGCCTGGATTTCCCACAGGGCCCCCAAGAGAACGCAGATCCCGATCAGCCGGCTGCAGTCCGGGCAATAAGGAGAAGCCGCCATTACAGCCCCGCGGCGGAATAGCTTGCTCTTGGGTGTTCCCTTGGTGGAGGTCTGAGGATCCCAAGGATCTTCAGGGTCCAAGATAATGTGCTTTCACCGTTGGATGCTGGCGCTCTCGGGGGTCCAGTTCGAAGCTTTCTAAAGCCCCAGAGCTAGTGCTTTGTAATGCAGAAATCTTGTGGTTTGTATTAATTTCCTGGTTCTTTTCTTCCCCCGATTGGTGAACAGCGACACTCAGAGTCCTAACCTGTTACTGCAGTTTATTCTTGGTAAATAAAGTATCACTTGTGTACACCATTTCTTTTCCCTATTCTATTCCCCCCCCAAAATGATAAAAGTCAAACACCTGCTGTTCAATTTGCAATGAAAATCCAGAAGTGATCCAAATATTCCTGTACAATAAGACTTATAAAATAATTTATTTTTTCAGAGGCAATTTTTTTTTTTGGTAAGAATTTTTCTACCTCTTTTTAAGTTTTTGCATTATTTATTCTCATAGCCCAATTTCACTACTGTGTATTGCATAAGGGACATATTTACCCCTCCCAGGAACAAGGTTATACTTGAAGACTGAAAGAATAAATGGCTGAAAAGACAGGTCTGGGCTCAGTCCCAACCTATGCAGAAACAAGTATTCTCACATGGGTTGACCCTTTAGAATCTGGGGCAAATTTTCAATTCCCTTGTAAGAAAATATCTACCGTTCAAAGAGTTAGCCTTACCCCTGTGCAAAAGGGCTTGGTAAATATGATAATAGGTTTGGGAAGGACATTTGCTATTAATTTTATATAAGAAGATTCTAGGCCACAGGTTATATCTGTGATGATCATGTTCACAGTGAGTCCTCACTCTAGAACAGCACCTTTCCTAGAGTATACACTGAAATCGTTTTTCAATGCTTAACGAATGAGTCATTAATGCAGCTGCAAAACCTAAAACAATGGGTAAATAACTGATCTTAAAAGGAAATAATAAAGGTAAGAAGACAGAAAAGTTAAATCGAAGCACTATGAAGAGGAAACGGTGGTTCAGTGATCTTTTCCACATTAGGACACATCCAGAAGGTATTATCTTACTTTTATTTATAAGTTTACTTTAGTTTTGATTTTAGAAATAACCAATAAAAGGAAATATTTTAGTAATTGTATATAATCATTGCATGTTTCATAGTTTTCTTATTCATGAATACTTAGAGTAATTTACTAATGTGAGAAAACTTGAAATAAAGCAGCAAGTACTCAGTTCTTTAGATTATTACTCACATAATAATTAGTTTCTAGAAATTACTCATAAATTTTGACCAGACACAAAAGTCCATTAACTATTCAGAGTTTAAAAATTCTCAGACTTTGGAGAATAGATTAAAGGTATTTTCCACAATCCTCAAAAGACTCACAAATTGCTGGGGATTGGGAGGTAAAATAAAATATTTTGAAAAAATTTGACTCACTTCTCAGAAACCTATACTAAAAAAAGTAATATAGAAAAGGCTCTGCATACAAAAAATGCTTGTTACATTCCTTACTATACTAGTGACAAAGTAGAAAGGGTATAAAAATAAATTATTTAAGAATGGTCAAGAAAATTATTCTTGACAGATTTTGAAGTGGGAAAAAAGACCCAAAGTTAGTGATTCAAATGTAAAACCTGGCAGTCTTTGCTGCACGTGATAAGGCAAAAAAGTGCTAAGAGAATTATTGGAAGGCTATATTAAAATACACACCGCAGAAAAAAAGATAAACAACTAGAATGTATTTGATGAAGATGAACATTAACTTAGGCAGAAAGAACTGTCAATACATTTACAATCTTGAAAAAAAGGAGTATTACACATCAACTAATTAAGGGCAGTTCTATTACTAAGGGTGGTGACATCCAAGAAAAAGCTATCTTTAGCAGGATTTGTTGACCATATAGAAATGCCAAGAGTGCAAATTGAGTAGTAATTAGGTAACTGCCAAGACTACTGAGCAATCAAGGGACCAATCTCCACCCATCCAATATACCTCCTCTCCCACTACCATCACTAGAACAATGAACAAGGACCAAAAATAATGATGCACTGTCGATAATAAAATACAATAATAAAATTTAAGTAAGTCTGCAAAAACTCACGTGATGGGAAAAAGAGGAATCATAAGAGATTTGGGAGTCTTCATTACTGGCACATATACCCATAGAAGGATCTTCACCTAGGAGATCCGGAGGGGTAGCTGTTTCCTGGGTCACGTTGTGAAAATTAAATTTCACAATTTAAATCGCCCAATTGAATGCGAGGCAACACACAGATTGTAGGAATAGGGCAATGTTCCCTCACTGTAGTTGGGGGGAACCCTCCATCCAGACTTGGAACTCAGACCAGGCTTAAAGCAGCTCCAGGCAGCGGGGTGGAGGAGCGTCGAAGCAACGGGGCTGGAGCGACCGCCAGAATCACTGCCAGGAGGAAGAGCACCGAGATCAAGGCCAAGGTCACCACCAGCTAAAACTTCAGCTCAGCTTGGGGGTCAGTGGGCTCAGAGTGGTCACTGAGGTCCGGCAGCGCCTCCTGCAGGCTGTCCGCGAAAACCAGGAGCAGCGTGGCGGTGGCCGAGAGGGGCGGCTGGCCCCCATCGCGCACAGCAACCAGCAGGCGCTGGCGGGCCGCGTCCCTGTCGCCCAGGGCCCGCGCCGTGCGCACCTCGCCCGTGCGCAGCCCCACGCTGAAGAGTCCGGGCTCGCTGGCCTGCAGCACGTGGTAGGACAGACAGGCGTTGTGTCCAGAGTCGGCGTCCACCGCCACCACCTTGGTGACCAGGCAGCCGGGCTGCGCGGCGCGCGGCACCGTGTCGAAGAGCGCCGAGCCGTCGGGCCCCAGCGCCGGGTACAGCACCCTGGGCGCGTTGTCGTTGCGGTCGCCCACAAGCACGCGCAGGCTCACGTTGGCGCTGAGCGCGGGCGAGCCGTGGTCGCGGGCCTGCAGCGTCAGCTCGAAGGCGCGCAGCTGCTCGTGGTCGAAGGCGCGCTGCGCGAACACCACGCCGCTCTGTGAGCTCACGGACACGTAGGACGACAGCGCGCGCGGCTCCAGGTCGCTGGCCACGATGGAGTAGGAGACGTGGCCGTTGGGCCCCAAGTCTGGATCTGAAGCGTTAACTTGGGCGATGGAGGCTCCAGGCGGGTTGTTTTCTGCCACGTGGACCACGTAGGAAGCCTGGTGGAAAACCGGAGCGTTGTCGTTGACATCGCGGATGTGATGCTTGTACTGGAGGAGAGGGGCGGCTTGCCCTTGTCGGTGGCTGTGATGGTGACATTGTACTCTGCCCTCTGCTCATGGTCTAGGGCACCGTCAATCACTAGCTTGTAATAATTCTTGGAGGTGAATTCTAATTTGAAGGGAAGTCCTTCCTGAATATAGCATGTCACCATATCATTTTGTCCAGAATCCTGGTCTCGGACTTTAATGAGGGCTATTACGGTTTCAAGGTCTGAGCCCTCGGGAATCTGGCTAGAGAAGGACATTAATGTCACCTCTGCACTCACACTGAAAAACTCCTCTGCACTAATCCGCAGTTTTCGAGCTGGCAACTCCGGGACACTGAGGCTCAGATCCCTGGCCAGGTTCCCCACCCTCGAGCCCTTGGCCAGCTCCTCTGAAATCGAGTACTGGATCTCCTGGGAGATTGCCCTCCACAACAAAGACAGCAGGCAGAGAAGCAGTACCTGACTTCTCATTGTTTCAGCTTTTCTGGAGCTCCTAAGCATTTCTTGAACTCTCTGGGAAGCTGCTCTTCAAGATTTCTCTGGGATGTTTAAAAAAATCAGTGACAGTTCCCTGGACTTTTGTGATTTGAGGGTAGGACTTATTTGTTAGGCACTTGAGGTTGCACAGGAGGTGCGTTTGCGTTCTGATGTGCACAGGACAAAGCAGGAAAACACTCTGCCCATCACTCCTGCGGAACTCAGAACCCTTATGTTCCCTTTGGTCAACAGTAGCACCCAGAGGTTGTCTGAGAAAACTGCATATTGCCCAACTATTTATTCCTCAAATTGTAAGCTCTTGAACCTATATATCTTGTCTTTTTATTTGTTGGAAAGAACAAACTATTCAAATTTTCCCTTTAAATCTGATATTTTCTAGCTTTTCATAATCTTTGGAGTGTTGCCATATTTTATTCTTCTTTCTTCATTAAATATTTTTCATAAGGCATACAGCTTTTTTTTTTTTCAGTTTTGGGGGCAGAAATATCTTCAGTGATTCCACTGTATTTATAAACACTGGCATGACTAGTATGGATGTAACCAATTAGGTTACTGGTAGTGGATAAAAAGGTCTAATCTTTGCAAAAAAAGGAGTGAGTCAAAGCCCTAGACTTATTTTAATATATTGCTCATCATTTTAAAACATAGATAATCTTCCCATTACGTACAGAGGAGCCTGATATTTTTTAAAGAGACCAATCTAAGCACAAGAGACCAATTTGAGCACACACATGTTTTTACAAAACTGAATCCTGTGTAAGCTTATTTATTTCTTTGAAATCAGTGCTTCTTTACTGTATGACTGTATACACAAATACTCCTTAATGCCAATTCTCAGCTCCAGTAAATTTATACCATTAATAAGTGTAATGAGTTTGATTTGACCACTGGTAAATCTTGGAGAGGAAGTGAGAGTTCTTAGACACTCCATTTTGAAACTTACCTGTAATCCTTGAACCAGACTTGGGTAACTAAAACAAACACCTTTATTTCAAATGCACTACCAAATTAAATACAAACTCAACAATTTATTCTGTTATTTTGCAGTGCTAATCCATACCCCTCTTACATTCCAGTCAAGACAGATTATTATCTGTTTTCTGAAGACATCGTTTCCCTTGTTTTCCCTACTTCATGCCTTTATACTTTCTGTTGCTTTTATTATAAACCCTCCTCCCTTTTTGTTGTAATGAAGTCTTGCCTATCCTTTAAAAATCCTTTTTAGTTAAAATGGGATGTCTGAGACTTCTTTTAATCCATACAAGTAGATGCCTTTGTACTCTGTGCATTTTCCCAGGGTATATGTAGGCTATGCTTTTTTGTTTTAATTAATTAATTTTATTTATTTATTTTTGGCTGCATTGGGTCTTCGTTGCTGTGTGCGGGCTTTCTCTAGTTGTGGCGAGTGTGGGCTACTCTTCGCCGCGGTGCGTGGGCTTCTCATTGCGGAGCACGGGCTCCAGAGCGCAGGCTCAGTAGTGGTGCCAGGCTTAGTTGCTCCGCGGCATGTGGGATCTTCCTGGACCAGGGCTCAAACCCGTGTCCCCTCCATTGGCAGGCAGATTCTTAACGACAGAGCCACCTAGGCTATGTTTTATATGAAATTCTTAGAAAATTCTCTTTGAACATGTAAAGTTCCCCTGACCCTAGCCATTTAATTTTTTTCTCATTACAAGGAAAGGTATATTAATATTGTAAAGATTTTTCCTAAAAAATATTCCAGAGGTAATGTGCCTTTTTTCTGTGATGCATTTGCAGGCTTGAGTGAGAATATACACTTCTCTGCTTTCAGTTATTTTGTTCAGGCCCTTTTGTCTCACACTTTTGACTGTACCTTTTCCTAACACACTGAAGGAGAGCTGTATTCCTTTGTTTGAGACCTAATGAAATCTATTTTGGCCTAATTTTGGATGACTCTCTGGTGCGATTTTGTGGGTGAAAATAATTTCATAAATTTCAAAATGGGCCAACAATTTCTAGCCCAAGAAAGTTGTAGGACTCCTATTCCATTGTTGAAGTTGATGGTCTGGAAACCTCTCACAGAGGTTAAGACATATCTCCTTACATTTTAAAATCCTTCCCAAAGGACAAGACCTGCCACTCCAAGGCTCATAACAGTTTAGGCAATTGAGCTTCCCACCTTCAGAGAAAAGGCTGAAATCCATATGGATACACACACACACACACACACACACACACACACACACACACACTTTAAGTATACCAAGTAGGGATTACATGCCAGGTAAAAGAATTTGACCAACATCTATGTTTTTTACCCTATCATTTTTATGTCATCAGGATGAAATGAGTTTTGTCTGTCTTGGAAGGAGTTAAGCATCATATTATTATAGCCTAAAATACCATATATATATATAATATATATATATGTGTTTATATATATAAAATATATATTA